CACTGAAGACTTGTGGGTCTGTGCTTCAGGATATATACTTAGAACAAATGATCTTTAGATGATTCTATGTCTCTTATGATGAAATACATGGGTCTGGAAACAAGGGATAGAGATAATAGTGGTACCTTTCACTTTCCCCATTATAGTGAAGGTAATGCAGAAATGCTCAACTGAAGAAGTAGAAATATGTTTAAGGAAATAGGTAATGCTTTCAGGCACAGCCATGTTAAATATGGGAAACATAAGTGCCAATTTTTAACAGGCATTTGGATGTGCAGTTTTAATGCTCCAAAGATAGATGTAGTCAGCAAAATCTGAGATAATACTGCTGTTTGCTCAATCTTTTTATTGCTATCTTTATGTCTTTGTTCCTTAATGTATAGATGATAGGATTCAATATAGGGGTGATAGCAAAGTCAACAATGAATAGGTATTTATCAAGTGATGATGTGGGAAAAGGCCATAAGTAAACAAACATGCATGGTGTGAAAGTAAGAATAACTACAGTGATGTGAGATGACAAAGTGACAAATGCTTTGGACAAATCACCTGAAGAACGTTTCCAGACTGTGACCAAAATGAATGCATAAGAGAAGACTAGCAGGAAGAAGGTGCCCATGCTTATGAACCCACTGTTTGCAGCAATAATAAACTCAAGCTTGTCTCCATCTGTGCATGCAAGTTTTATGATCCTAGGAAAGTCACAAAAAAAGCTGTCTATTTTATTAGGTCCACAGAAAGGCAATTTTATAACAAAACCAAATTGAAACATAGCATGGATAACCCTGGTTACCCATCCAGAGACTACAAATGAAATACATATTTTAGGATTCATGATGTTCAAGTAGTGAAGAGGCTTACAGATGGCTGTGTACCTGTCAATGGCCATGGCTATGAGTAACACCATCTCCACTCCTCCTATGATGTGGATGAAGCATATCTGTATCATGCAGCCTTGAAAAGAAATTACCTTGTATTCATTCAAAAAGTCTGTGATCATCTTGGGGACTGTGGTAGAGGAAAGACCCACATCAATGAGGGACAAGTTGGCCAGCAGAAAGTACATCGGGGAATGCAAGTGAGAATCAAGAATCACCAAAAACAAAACAAAAAGGTTTCCTAGGATGATCCCAAAATAGAGTAAGGAGAAGGTCAATGTGAGAAAAACTTTAGTTTCCCTTGCACTGGAGAGTCCCAGCAATACAAACTCCGAAATCACAGAGTCATTTGGTCCACCCATGAGACAGAAGAGCTGATTTTCAAATGACCTGTACAAAGGAAATAAGGAAGTGTCAAAATCAGTGGCATTGAAAATTGATTTTCTATTTACCTTGCTAATTAGTTCTATGAGTTACAGCTACTTGAATTAAAAATCATTGAATGGAAAGCAAATGGAAAGATTATGGTAATTGAGAGAAACACAATTTTAAATATTTTAGGTTTTTAGGTGTAGGCAAAGAAGGTTACTTCCCTTCTTACTCTAATATCACATCATATGTTTTTGTCCCAGAAAGGTTTAAAGAGATTTTCTCTGAAGACTTACCTATGTTTTCTACTGTATTGCATCAGATATTTTCTGTCTCCTGCACAGGAACAGTCTCACACTAACTTGTAAAATCTCTTTTGCTGAATGTCTTACTTTTGTGGGCAAATAGAAATCATAATTTCCCTAAAACTCTGAAGGAATGAGTGTGCCAAACAGTTATTGGATAAATTTCAGCATTCATTTCTGATTTAAAAAACAAAACAAAAACTCTAGAAATATGTTTTTGTGGTT